GAATTCTAATAACGCTACACGAGCAAGCTGTGAATCTCCTTCTTAGAAGTCTTAGGTTGAGTACAATTTATTCATTTCTTTGTTAACTACCTTAATGGAATCTATTGTATCTAGTAAGTGGTATTGATCGATTTATTTCTCATTTTAACATGTACAGTCTCGCAGTGCGCGCAATGACCCACGCACTGAATTGCACCTGAAATATATTATACACCATTGATTACAGATATCTCAAATGTCTTTTAGGGAAATATTTAGGTAAATATATTAAAAATACATATTATTAATACAGATCTCCACTTATTGCTGATTTATCTCTTAGATTAAAGGGCACAGACTATCCTTATCACTATGAATTTCCTAAACTGTTTTTAAAGCTAAATAAACATTGGACAGTTTGATTTCATCATTTTGCAAACTGTAAAAAGATAGACCTGATGTGTTACAAGTGTTTTTCTGGTCACAGAAGCTCACCTTCATGTGGTAGACTATTTATGGCTTTACCACTAGATGTTAAAGACATATTGTTTTTTTCCCATGTTTCTGACTTTTCTCTAGCCTCTACCAGGCTTCGGGAGGCGGCAGGAAAGAGTAGAAATCGGCCAAATAGAGACATAACATGCCAGGGGAGTTCGTCTGCTGGAAGAGAACATTTTACCGCTCCCGAAAAATGTTCTCTCCCGGCAAACAAGCTACACTGGCATGCTATATCTCTATTTGGCCGATTTCTACTCGTTTCAGCCGCCTCCCGAAGCCTGGTAGAGGCTACCTTTTCTCCCCCTTCTCCTCCTTCTCATGCCATTTATTTAAATTGTTTCAACACCTTCATTTTGGGGCCAAATAACATGAAATTTGACATAAAGGTTGAGTGGGCAAATATCCCAAATAGAATGGTTTTATTTTAGCCTTTTGGCCGTGTTATAAAAAATAAAGAGTACTATAACAGTGTGTTACCCTATTGGGGGATGAGTCATCAGAATTGTATGCAGGACAAACAGCCAATAAACATGCAGCATTTCTCTCTATTCTTCTTGCTCATTGGCTGTTGGGGTTTGATTGGGTTAACTCAATTAACACTTGTACAAATCCATGTCATATTAATAGTATGAACTGCATTTAAGTATTTTGGTAGGTATGTCAAGCTTTCCTACTCCAGGATTGGAATGCGGGGCATAAACGATTCTTTTTATCTTAAAAATCAACATTTTGCATTTTGCAATTAAAAATCCTAACCAATAATGTATAGGACAGTTATCCAATTGTTGTATTCTTAGCTATATGTCACTGCATATAAGGCCATACTAAAGTTATATCGTTTTAAAACATTGTTTTCCCTTGTATTCTCCTTCTTTCCCTGCCATGTCGTAAATGTGGTGAAGCCAAGCTGAATTTGCTCCAAGCAAATGTCGGCCTTTCTAGTTATTAATATGTACTTATTATTTTTTGTCGCGAAATTTCAGAATACTTTTCATGTTCCATTGCGATATTAAACGCTCACCAAGAGGGGTGTAGAATCACAAAAGTATTTACTTTTTAAAAAAACTCTTCACCATACTATCAGGAGTAAAGAGATTTTTTATTCAGCCGACCTTTTGTTGACTGTCTGTCACCTCCCCCAGGGCATCCATAGCAGCGACACCTTACACCTTTGCTGCAATGCAATGTGTACCAGTCAAAATTGCCCTGAGTACGGAGACAGGTTTTGAATTAGGGCAAATTTTCGTCAATGAGGGAATATCTTGTTCTATACGCCAAAAAGCAGTTACTCAAGCAACTGGATATGATGTTGGAAACGGTCAGACGTTTAATATAGCATTCACTACCTTTGGTTAGTGATACTGGGGAGTTGTCAGAAAAGCAGGTTTACAAGTACGAACTATTGATTGATATGCAAATAAGGGAAGACAATTTTTTTAAAGTCCAAATTTAAAAATGAAACAAAAGTTAGACACAAGTCAAGTCAAGACAAGGATGATGCTAATTAGTCAAGAAGCTCCTGTTGTTTTATAACAGCAGCTTAAGTGTGGTCTGTCTCGGGGCTTCTGATAACTCTCCAGTGTCACTGCCAAGGAGCTTGTGGAGGCTCCCTGAAACGTCTGACAGTTTCCAAAATCACATCCAGTTGCTGTTTCATGACGTATCTTATTATCATGTTGATGTCTGACTTTTACCGTATCGCATTCTAGAGTAGACATGGTAAATTTTGGGGCATGGAAGATGTACCTTTAGCGGTGAAACGTATTGCATCGTAATGGATTTTAGTCTAAGGTCAAAAGTTAAGACCCCTGCCAAAAAATGGTCACAATTTTTTACACGTAAATAACTGCACATTAGCAATGAGAACTCCTAAATGACTTATGAATACACGTAGCTTGTCACACCTTTTACAGGACGACTAATAAACATGGCTGAAGACATCACCACCCCTGGTGTCACAAGGGTCAACGCAAACGTCTTCAAGGGCATGCGTTCGAACGTCTTCCTGAATCCGATGTACGGAGCAGGATGTAACCCATCTGAAACAGATACTGACAAGACGGTAGAAGATGATGCCGGTGTGGAGCCACATCCTGTCAAATCCAGGGGCCAGAATCCACCGAACATGACCAAACGTACCGCAACAAGCATCTTGCAGTGAGTTCCTTTTTTTAGGTTCAAATTTATTTTCCTCTAATCTACTCTACATTAAATATTTAGTCAAGTTATGTTTCTTTGTTTTCGCGATTTTCCGCGCATGTAATGGTTTAACTACGATTCATGAATAGCGAATGATGGGAATTTTATGTTGGTAACATGTGTAAGTTATTTAAAGGTAACAGCAACACAAAAAATTAAATTTAATAATAACAGCCTTAATGCCATAATCGATGTAACAAATCAAAAGAAAATATTAATGTAAATATTATTGCATCATGTACCCGAATTCCCGTTCGTGTCATTTTGTAGCCTCCTTCGCAGACTAGTGCGGCGATGGCGTTGATTTTGTTCGGGTAGCGAGGCGAGTAATGCCGCAGAGGGACGGTTTTGCCTCCAAAGAAGATTGCCGCTTTCTCCCCGGCAAAACCGTCCCTTTGCAACGTAAGTAGGGTCACTTTCTGAAAAAAAATCAACGCTGCCGCCACTAAGTCTGTGAAAGAGGCTATCTATTTCATGTGATTTTTAAATCAATAAACGTTGATAGCCATCCCTAGCTTATGTTATAAACCTTCCATTAATTTTACATTCTACGTTATGTTCACTTGCCTTTTAATGTGGTGGTTATATAAACCGAAACCTCGTCTTACCCACCCTTTGTATTTGCAGAGTGCACAGGGATTTGCATTGCTGTGATTATAGCTGCTATGTTGGCTATGGTCATGCTAATTGTCGGGATCTGGTTATACGTTCAGAAGGTAAGAATATATTTTAACTATTCTGCTTTTATGCCGTCACTAGTTGTATAATAAGAACAAGAATGCATTTGTTTCCCCCATAAAACAATTCAAATGTTGTTTTTTTTAATCTCTTTCTATTGAAATTTCGATAGAAAGACTTACTGAACTTATCCATGTATATAACCATCACCAGTTCTGGTTATGATGCATTATGCACAATATAACTAAATGCTTTCTATATGTAGTCGACACAGCCTGTTGCTGGCATTACCTACGCGCCTAATCAGCCTGCTGTGGACACTACCTACACCCCCGGTCAGCCTGCTGTGGACACCACCTACACCCCTGGTCAGCCAGCTGTGGACACTACCTACACCCCTGGTCAGCCTGCTGTGGACACCACCTACACCCCTGGTCAGCCTGCTGTGGACACTACTTACACCCTTGGTCATACTGATGTCATGACATCATCAAATATCTCCTCCCACCCAACTATTCTACCGCTTGACACGACTGGACCTAAGCGGAAAGAAAGCACCAATGGTGTTAAGACATCAGCATCATCAATTCAGAAAGGTGTGGCATCATAAGCAAAAATATCTCAATTACTTTTATTATTATCATCAGCTCTTGTGTCTTTGGCTCGATCCGAACTATAATTATTGCGTGTCTGTCTATTTGTCTGTGTTTATATAGTTGAGCATCTCCATGTGCTAGAAATTCGGAATTGGGCGGGATAGTTTAGTTGGAGGTCACAAAGGGTGTTAAATGTTATTCTAATTCCTGTTTTTTCTAGTGGATTGAGGGTGGTTAGAAGATATAGCTGGCTAGTTATGCCTTAATCCTTAAACCACAGTAGTTTTTTTTTGCGACGAATCCTACCGTATGGGGTGAAAACTAACCCCATAATGTTTTGCATGGATATGTTTTTTGTAAACATTTTTTTTATTTTAAGTATGCATAGTTTCACTAATAAATTAGGGACAATTTCACATGATTAGGTGTGAATAATTCCTGCTTATTATCAAATTTAATGCACCTCACACAGGATGCTTACAGACTGCCAAATCGATGACATTTGATCCCAAGTCTATAGGCAAATTGCCTTACTTTTTATTTTTAGTTTTCTGATTCAACATGATGAGGTCATTCAAATGGAAGCAGAAAACTAAGACAAACACATTACCTGGACGAACTGTTTGACGACAACATAAGGACTCATATATGTTAAATACTAGGGTCAGTTTTGATCCAGGCATAACATTTCTAGAATAACTCAATCAACAATGTTCCAGGTCTGGTGGAGACATCATGCGGCTGGCTCTAGCTATTTAGAATTGGTACAAACAAATTAAGGAACAGCTCACGTAGCTTGGTTTGAGACAATTTTAAACGCTTCAAGTAAAAATGTACAACAAAATTTGCTCAGAAATGGCAGTAAATGTCGATATCACACAAATTTCCATAGTATATAAACCAACATGTTTCTGTTTGCAACTCTCAAGTCGCATTAGATGTCTTAAATATCGTTATTGTAAAGTAATTTAAATTCAACTAAATTGAACCACACATTGGGGGTAAAGATGGTTATCATTTGTTTATCTCTATTCTGTCTACTAGAGCTAGTGGCTTCTGAGAAAATGTGGCGTGATGACTGGCGTTGCGGTCGGGGTTTCCCTGCAGAAAACGGTAAAGATGCTGAATGTGACCCTGATGGTATCATACCATGCTGCTCCCCGGGAAACTGGTGCGGCTACACGGTAGACCACTGTGACTGCCCGGGCTGTGTGGACTACAGGAACATGAGGGGTGCAGGTCTGTAGCTGATTCAAGATACATAACACACACAATCACACTCACACCAATAATCACACCAATAAGGCCACCCCATTCACTCTAATGTAACGAATAAGGTCACCCCATTAGGTCAACATGTTCGGGAGACTAAAACTTAGTCTAGTAGGTAGAACGACGTTTAGCAAGTATTTTTTTCTTAAATAAAGGATATATGTAATAAAGAGTCAACAAATTTGTGCTGATTAACGGTTAACCCTAGCCCTACGGCCGCCGAGTATACACTTCCCCTAGGTGTTTCGTGAATGCGAAAGCCTCTTGCCGCGCGAACCCGGAGTTCACGTTACCCGAGGCAGCGGCATCTGCCAAGAGGTCAAGGGTCAACATCACCTTGCGCAATCAACGTAATGGCATCCCAAGAGCCTTTGCGCGCTGATTTATTCAAAGAAATCAGACTGATGTAAATTCGTGATTATGGCTCAAAGACAAAATGCTGACAGTATGTGGCATCAGTAGAAACTGGCAATGCTCGTATGAAATTATTTCACTTTACCTTTAAATGCCACGAAGCCATCTCAAATTATCGTTATTACAATCTGGCAAACGGAAACACACACATCAAGCACACACAGCCGCCTACACAAAATTCCTTTTGTTGAACACAACAACTTTTACGTTTAACACTACCTAGACCGGGGGGAAGGGGTAAAAGTGCCCGCGCCAACTTTGATGTCACCTAGCGTCTAAACGGCTAGCTCTATAACGGCCAAACTTGGTGACTTTTCCTAGAATATTGTTGGCAACAATTCTGTGTCATTGGTATAAGATGATAATTTTTTGTGTTGCCATGGCAACGGGTTTCTGACAGGCATTTTTTGCTAAATTTAGTTCTTTTTGTTTCAACAATAGAATTTTATGGGTTTTATGTCAAGTTACTCATGGTTTCTAATATTAATAACATCCCATATACTTTTATGTGAATTTCATCATCTAATATGCAAAATTTATGCTAATTTGATGACGTCATTGGCCAAAATTCAAGATGGCGGACCATAACATTAGACAGGTATATACAGGTTATTTTAATTTAAAATTTCATATATACTTATATATCCATTTTTTTCCAAAACAGGTTTAAATGAAGGTCTTTAGTATGTTTACAATGTATTTTAGGCTTTATCATGAAAAAAAACAAACTATTTTTGAAACTTCAAGATTGATGATCCAAGATGGCGGATATCTTAAATATTCATGACGTCATTTTATGACGTCACCGGTGTTGCTATGGGCAACATAAGACTTAGTACACCCTAATATTCTGTCAGAAAAACTTCTGGTAAAGTTATGTTGAATACCATTTAGTTTTCAGGGAAAAACCTATCTAGACGGTTTTGGCCAATAAAATCACATTAATGACGTCATAATAACGTCATATTACGTCATAACGACATAAAAATTATATATATATGATAATTTTTTGCTAATACACTATCCTCTAAAAATTTGGTGGTCATACGACATACCGTTCGCGAGTTCTGAGGGGGGGGGGCAAATGAGCCCCCTCCCCGTCCCCCTATGCCCCAAAAAGCCCGGTCTAGGTAGGGTTAAACCAAGTAACACTAAAAAATGCCTAACGACGGCTTGTATTCCACGAACTCTTGTTAGAACTAAGTTAGCTTAACTTTTCTTACCTTGCTGGTAGTCTAACGTTGAGACCACATTTATATATTCTGCTTTAGCGACACCTAGCTGCAGTACGAACCATAACCAGTATTGCCCTGGACACAGATACGTCGAACCCAAAACCAGTATAACAAGTAATCATTGCCCTAAAGAAGGTGACAGTCGGTTGCGATAACATTGAACCTTAAAACTGATTGGTTGTTGAATAAAGCTAAAAGACGAAATTATTCATTATTACTTGTTCTGAGGTTGTTTGATACCTCTGGAATGGAGATATTCTTCCTCGGAAGGGTGCTGTTTTTGGTAATGTTTGCGTATTTGCAACAGCTGTAGCTCACGATAATTTTACGGATTTTGGTTTGCTAACTATTACTGTCCCTTCCTTAGAACATCGCGGGGTACATCAAAGTAAACTTCAAGGTATTTTGCCCAGCCCAAAACGTACGAAGCTGCCCGTCAGACCTGTGTCTCAAACGGAGGCCATCTTGCCGATGTCAAGACACAGGAGTTACACGACTTACTTTTAAATGAGATTCAGAAGGTTGACAGGAGCAGAGACTACTGGATCGGGCTCAATGACCTGACAGTAAGTGTTGCACTGTAGATAAAATGCATGTTAATGGCTTTTTATTTTGATAAACATTGTTTTTACCATGATGTTTCTTGTCTTTCTTCACGGAAGTAGGAGTAGACTTTTGCTATCTATATTTCACATGCGTTTTCATTATCTACACGGACTCCGACCTCTAGATCTCTATATTTGTAGGATACATGTAATATTTGTATTTGTGTTTATCTTAATGAATCCTAGAAAACTGGAAAGACCAGCCACTGGCTAATAGATAAAGACTATATGACTAAATAAGAATTCCAACAGTATTTTGGGTTATTATGACTTTAAAGTTATCCTATTTACAGTGTTTGGCTTTTTAACCTCTTTTTCATTGTCTATTAGTCCCTTCGACACACAGTCTTAAATCTTAATTCCATCCTACTTCTTGTCTCTAAACTTTTAACAGGTCATTAGTCATGTGCTGACAACCTAATCTCCAAGCAGATTCGGTGGGGCAAGGGGACTTTATATTCTTTATATTGGCCTCCTGTATCCATTGGCCGCCTGTATCCAACGTTCGCCCCACGAATCTGCCGGAAAACGCACCAGGGCGGGGCTACCCTTTCAAAATTGGTGTCGATGCCCCTCCCTGAGAACCATTAAAACATCGTTAGGTAAACCTTTTTAATGCCCGGAGTTAACGCGCGTCCGGTGTAGGGAACAGTATAATCAGCGGGCCGTGTTGGCTCCCTGCCGCTTCCGCCTTGTCCGGTCAAAAGCACCGTGTCATCGACTTACTTAAATGGACAAAAACACTTTAAAATAGGATTCTTAGTTGTAAAGAAAAATTAATTTGAAATTTAAAACGTGGACTTGTTATCCCAAACCTTCAATAGAGGTACCAAAGCAGGAAAAATCACCAGTAGATTACGTTACATGCAGTTTCGTAAACAGCATATTAAACAAACATGGCCGTCAGGGTTTAGTGTGTACCTGCATGTGTGGCTCGAGTTTCTTAGAGTTTTCGACACAAAATCGTGGCCCGTACTACCCTTATCAACGAATGCATGGGCTCTCTGGCGATCTATGGCAGAATTTGATAGCAAATGGATTTTCCGTGTCCTGTCGCGAGCCCGACGAAGCTATATTTCCCCTCTACGGTGGCTCTGATGGCTGCAAAGTTTAATGAAACCCCAAATGCCATGTGCAACACGATGCGCCCGCAAAATGTCGTCCATGACGAGTGGCGAGCGTGTGGACAACTCAAAACACGACATTCAAAATGTGAACCCGACAGTTGTAGATTGGTTTATTATTGTTGCTTCACAACCAACATTTACAGTCTCGCAGTGTAAGTAGTAACTCGCACTGAATTGAACTGGTAAACATTAATATAACAGGTAGTGACATAATAACATATTTAAAATACAGGTAGAGATATCACGATTAAAATCACTCGTTACATATAGTCGTGCCAATTATTCATATAAAAGTTATGACATATCATATTTAAAATTAGAGGTGGAAATATCACATATTAAAATCACTATATTACAAATAGTAGCAGCACAAGGATCTATAAACTAAATCAAAGTCAGGTAACAATTATGAGACTAGTAGTTAATCAAGCGCGTCATATATGGGACAGCACTGTTTCTATATCTCTCCGTTCTACAGCGCTGGAGTTCTAACTTATTGTTGGACCGTTAGACTGCGCACCGACTGCCAGGACGGAAACTCCCGCGGCGCGCGGGTGGAAAATGTAACCCACCGTAGTACACTTCGCACCTACTTAAAAATAGCCGTAAAAGTGTCAGAGTGATTAGGTTTGAAAGGCTTGAAATCTTCCGTTTTGCGGCAGATTCGTGTGGCGAACGTTGGATACAGGCAGCCAATGGATACAGGAGGCCAATATAAAGTCCCCTTGCCCCACCGAATCTGCTTGGAGATTACTGACAACCACTTTATCTGGATAAACGGTCACACAAAACCCTCAGTACAGTCATCTATAACAATATTCTCGTACCCGGAAGTGATAAATTGTAGTATCTTTAACGTGCAACTTAATTCCCATGTGTAGGTTGAGACCAGCTGGACCTGGTCTGATGGGACTCCCGTCAGCGATGGTAACTTCACCAACTGGGCACCGGGAGAGCCAAACAACGGGGCGGGGAGGGGCCAGGATTGTGGGAAACTCTGGAAAAAAGAAGGTTTTAAATGGGACGACGACACATGTGGAAATCAGAATTATTTTATCTGTCAGATACCTTTTAATGTTTAGGACTATGAAGACTTACTCACCCACTAAATATAAGAGAGCCTTAGCCATCTTGAGTCATCGCGTTGACCACATTTTTTTTTTGCTTCAGAAACCTACATGTGTAGGGGGCAAAATGTAGAAATAAAGAGAAATGTATATTGTCTGCGTCGGACTGTTCAGGCACAGAAATTGCTTTTTTTTAATGACGCAAAATCTACAAGGTCCTATTTGTTAGAATCTCGAAAGTGTAGTGATTTAGGCTTGTTGCCGATGTGAAAATAAAGTAAACAGAATGTTGACGGTCACTTAATTTGTTTATCCGTAACTATTGTCTACGTTGTAGGGGGTGGGAGTGTTCGTTTACGTATCATGACAGGATATATTTTGTGGTTTGTCAGACAGTTCAATATTTTTTACAACATCTCTATTAAGACAATAAGAATGATTACCTATAGGAATTGTGACGGCTATTTTAATTGTGGCTAAAAAGAATTGTGGGGCTTCAATGTAAGGAAACAAATATGTAAACACTC